TATGTTGCACAATCCCATTTTAAACTTTATTTAAATGGTTCTGCATAAGCATCAGGCAGGTGTTCTGGCAACAGATGACAGCAGTTGAAAACTTATGCTGTTCATTTGTGGCAAGCAACCAGCTCTGAAGCTGAGCAAGGTGTTAATCTTTGCTTATCTGGGCATTGGCTGCTGGAAAGGACGCGTTCTGGTTTTTTTGCTTCCTTCTTAGCTTTTTATTGTCTCTTTTGAATGGTGTATAAATGTGGTTTATCTCTATGTGTCTACTGATGGCTGATTTGTCTGAATGCCGAGCTTCCAGAAATTCCCTAGTGTTTTTGGATTTAGCTTGGTCTAGGATGTTTACAGTTTTCCAGTTGAAACTATTGTTGAGTCTGTTCATGTGTTGTGAGATTAAGGAGTTTCCATCATGTCTTCTGACTGCTAGTTGGTGTTCATGGATCCACTCTGCTAGTCTTTTGTCCTACACAGTGGCTGTTACAGTCCTTACGCTATATGTTGTAGATAACTCCTGTTTTTTCTTCTTGGGTTACTGGGTCTTTTGGTTTACTTAGATGTTTTGGAGGGCTTTAGTTGGTTTGTGTGCTACAGTGATGCCATGTGGTTGTAATAGCCTCCTTACGCTATATGTTGTAGATAACTCCTGTTTTTTCTTCTTGGGTTACTGGGTCTTTTGGTTTACTTAGATGTTTTGGAGGGCTTTAGTTGGTTTGTGTGCTACAGTGATGCCATGTGGTTGTAATAGCCTGTTGGTTGTTTCTGAAATGTTTTTCATATATGGTAGTGTTATCCTTTTCATAGCTTGTGTTGGTTCTGCTGTAGTGGGTTGAGTGGGATTAACACCAGACAAGCAATCAAGCAGAAAACAATACCCTAATCAAAGAACTACCAAGGAGAAAACCACACTCCCACCAACACTGGCAGGGCAAGCTGCTGTATATAAACAGGAAGCAAACCCAACACTCCATTGTACTGATGATGTTACCTAGTTAGGTAATGAAATGTCTGCAAGCAAACAACCAAGTTCAGAGACCACTAAGGACTCCATAGTTCAACCCTGAACTACAGATATTCTCTTCTATAGTATCCCTACATTACCTTCATCAGGTAGATGGTATCTTTCCTATATCAGGGATAGAAAGAAGTATTGGGATTGCTTCAACACAAATGTGTACTCTACATTGGCCATCTGCTCAACCTTGGGAGAGGATGGGTGGGCATGAGCGCTGCTTGCCTCTTTTTCGCTATAACCTCATGGAGATGAGACAAATGAGAAGGGACATTACTACTGTTGCCAGCACATCCTTTGTTGCACAAATAGGCATAAGTGGCTGCTGCTTCATGCTGAGTTGGTGGATGTCAGCCACAAGGCAGATGACTGGATGGGCCATGTTTCTCATGGCAGACACCTTACAACCACACAGACAAATCTCAAGTTCTACTTCATGGTTACCGACAATGATCCCACACCTTCAAGGCAGCCATCCAGGCACAGTGACGGTGAGCAGTAGCTGCACAATTCAAGCTCTCTCCTTGTTTGAGTAATTCTCTTTCTCTTTGTACTTCTTGAGTACAAACACCATGCTAAGTCAGGAGCTACCTTGGTCAATTTCCTAGAAGAGACTTTAAGCAACATCTAGAAGAAGTCCAAATGTGGGGAATGAAAAGTCATAGCAAATGGTCTGAGATCTTCAGTTATGTACCCTATGAAGCCTTATATAATGATGCCCTCTATATATTGGCAAACATTAGCAATGACAGACACAAGGGGGAAAGATGTAAGGATGGTCCTGTCAGAGGCCAGGGAGCTGGTCCACACGGAGAAAGCTGAACATTGTTGGCAAGTTCTACTTTCAGCATCAGCTAATTCTAGAAGTAGTTTTTTCATGGTGAGCATAAGCATGCTGGCCTCCTGTAAGAGTGGCATGCTTTACATCTTGTTCAGGAAAAAAGAGGCATCTCTAGGCACCTTGGGCAGAAATGCACTCTGCATTATCTCCCTAAGCTATAGGATGGTGAGAAGAAACTGCTCCTTTTTGGGTAGCCAATGCTCACTATGCATCAATTACTCAGTGGCATGTCACATGACCCCAACCAGAGTCCCAAGAAGATAGTGTTTTCCAGAGAACAGGACATAATGGCACCCTATTGCTTTCCTTATGCCTGAATGTTGACTTGCAGTAAATAGCACCAGTTAAACAATCAGGGAAGAACCAATATCCTAATCAAGAAGCTATTAAGGAAGAAATCAGTTCCCAACCAAGATAGATAGGGCAAGCTACTATAGATAAACAACCAGCAAATTCCACCTTCCCTGCACTGTTGATGTTGCCTAGCCTGATAATGAAATATCTACAGGAAAACAACCAAGCTCAGAGAACGCCAGGAACCCAACAGAACCCTATGAAGCATTGATCCCAGGTTTCTGATCAAATGCAGTTGAGTCAAATTGTTTCAGACAGAATCCTTGAATCAACTTGTAAATGGATTCAATGCAAATTGAACTGAGGGCCTTCTAATCAATTGTATGATTTAATGGACTTCTGTGCTTCCAGAAAGAAAGGGGGTATGATAGAAGTATTAAAATTATGCACATTAGGGAACAAGTTGGACAGAGAGAAGTTTTTCTTTCTCTCTTGCAAAACATGAATTCAGGATCATCCCCTGAAATTAAGTGCAGCATGACTCAAGTTTGATAAAACAAGGTCCTTATATATCCAATGCATATTTAAACTGTGGAATTCACTGCTGCCAGATGTGATGATGACCGTCAATTTAGACAGTTTTAAATAAGGAACTAGATAAATTCATGGAGGACTTGTCAATCAATGTCTATTCATTTTGATGTTTCTATGCTACCAACTGAATCACAAGCAGCACAGATGAAAAGCAGCTGTGGAAGCAACAGTAAAAAAGGACTATAGACCTCTTGTGAGCTTCTAAATTCACCTGGGTGATTGTGACACTGAATGCTAGATTAGATGGACCAAGTTGTGATCTATCATGACTGATCTTATGTTCTCTACTGAATGAAATCAGTTCTTAATATTGTATCACATTTTAGAAAATAGTAAGGACAGAGTGGGGGACTGAGGACGGAGAGGAAGGCATATTTCATTGGTGGCTGTCTATGTTAATGATCAGCAGGGGAAGTTGTCCTCTTCTTTTTGGGAGGAAGACTTTATAATTGCATTCTAGGCCAGGGGACTTGTTAGAAAATGAACAGGTGAGTTAGAGCTGATATAAAGATAGAATGGGCTAGAATAGACCAGAAAAGGCACTTTTGAAAGAAAACTTATGGCAGAAAGTGAAATGTAGCAGAGATAAATGAGCACATTCTTTAAAAACTGAAATTTTTTAAAAATTATACTTGTAATAACCCTCTAACACCCAAATCCACCTGTAACAGCTTGGACTGTCCAAAACAACAACTTTGCAACCAGCCAGAATAATCAAACTCATCAGTAGCTCTGGTAGAGCTAGGAGGTTTTGATGCAAGCCAATTCAGAATGTCCATGAAACAATGTTCCACTCCCCATTGGTGGGAGGGGGGAATACATTTTTTAAAAAAATGACTCAGAATACCAATTTCACCAGTCCAATTAAAATCTCCAGTTACACAAAACTAGAGGGGACCAAGGATGTAAACTACAAATCTTCCATAGGCACCATAGAAACTAATAGTTTCTATTTATTCTATTTATCTGTCAAACTTCTAGTCCGCCCAACTCCAAAATGATCACGCAGCGATTTGTGTAATAACAGACTATAAGCTGACACAATGCCAGGCTGTAATGATGGATAATTGATTTGCGACTATGTAGGTTTTCTGAAATATGGCAGGGCATTTGCATACAAAATTAGATATTTATTTATTTATTTATTTATTTATTTATTTATTTATTTATTTATGGTGTTTGGGGTTGACTGTGGGAATGAAGGACCAAAGAGATGAGAAGGATGAACACTGAAGGAAAGATATATGTGAAGAATGTTAACTGATGACTTGCAACTCATCTTCACAGACAGCTAATGTCTCATAGCTGGGGAATGATTGACAATGGTAAATGGCTGGCTGATCTCCAAGAATTGAAACTTCCAAAGCAATCAAGACAGCAGAGGGCAGAAGGGACACAGAAGGCAAAGAACCAGATGCGGGTAAATGAAGGAAGTCAGGTCTACATGGGAAAAAATGAGACAGAGAGGAAAAGAAGGAAAAGAATGCTCTTAAAAAGCTCTGGAATTATAAAGGCTTTTTGGTGAAACTGGAACTTGAATCAAGCAGCTGCATGATTTGGTTGGGTGGTTCTGGTTTGAGGGTATTTGAACAACTGAACCAAGGATTGATTGATTGATTGATTGATTGATTATGTACCATCAAGTCATTTTCGACTCCTAGCATCCACACAGATAGATTACAAAGCATACTGTATCTATCTACATTGCAAAATATTACAGAAAGGAAATTAAGAAAAGGGGTATTAACACCATAAGCCCAGTTGAATATATTCATTTGCATTGGTTTTGGGGTTTTAACAAAAACATTTATGCCAGCATAATTTAAAAAGACTTTCCTAAGTGAGATAGGGAAAAATAATTTCCTTGTTTTTTAAAAAATACTACTGTTACTTAGCTAGCAAAAGGTTTTCATCTGTGTTGCTATCAATTCCATAGAGCCAAACTTTGGAAAATTTAAGTTTTTATCTAGATTCCTGATGGGTAACTGAAAAAGTCCCATTATCTGTTTCTGGATGAAGTCCGTCCTTTGTACCTTAAAAGTCAGAGAAACATCAACAGTGAAAGCAAATTTGGGGATCCACATTAAGATATGCACCAAATAGTTACCTGTATGAATTGTACTTAGGATCATTATATTGACTGGAATAGATTTTATGAAAGTTGCCATCCTATTGCAACCTGAGATATTTGTTTTAAATTTTACCAAACCATACATCCTTTCAAAATATATTGAATTATCACTGAATATGTTAAGGGATACCAGGATTTTACGTGCCTTTTATTAGAAAAGACCTTTGATTCCCTGTTTAGAAAAATGGCAAACCAGTTGTAGGTGTATGCCTCAATGTCTAGAATAACTTTGTATTTCAAAAATAAATCCAATTCAGAATGTAATTTTAAATGGAAACCATTGGACTATAATATTAAGTATGGAATTGTGCCGTGCCCCAAATTGGCTTTTAAAGTTCAAATTGTAACATTGTATAATTTATAGAATTGGTAGAATGCATTGTTTACTACTTCTGGTTTTAATCATTTGAATAATGTTAACCAATTTTTTTTTTTTTTTAGTTTAATGTTCAATAGGGATACTGGATTTTGACCAGAAAATGGGTGTTAAATATATTATAAGCTTCTAATGATGCATTAGAATATATTAGTTTCATGATATTTCAGATCTGTTGTTTATCCACTTGTATTTTGGTGTCTCTACCTGATTTTCATCTACTTATTTCTTGTGGGCTTTCAAAATATATAACAAAGAACTGAAAAAAGAAAACTAAAAAAAATGGCCAAAAAAAAATCATTACATTGGTCCACAACTTAAAGGTAATATGAATTTATTCCTGTAATTTCTGAGAGAACTGTGCTACCAGAATACTGAGGGCCTTAAGCAGAATTAATGCGCAGAAAAAGAAAGTGCCTTAATCTTTTGGGGATTTTAATCTGAATGATACATCATGTAATGCTGTTCTGGTTAAGGTTAAAGAATTAATAAATAGGATGAAAGGCACAACCCAGAATAACTTTCAGAAAATGCTACTTGTCTTTCCACTTTAATGATATTTCATTCGTTCGTTCATTCATTCATTCAGAGAGAGAGATGATAGGTTATTGTTACTATTATTATTACAAACCTATACGGGCACCCATCTTAATCAAATCATTCTACCCAGCTAACAAACATAAAAACAGAAACCTACCTGTAAAAATAATAAACTATAAAAGACACCAGATTAAAAAATAAGCTTACACATGTACACACACTTACACACAACTTACTTCCATTTTAAGATACACATTAAACATAGCAAATCATACAGCCAGTCATTTTGTTGTTTTATAAGAAAATAACTTGATTATTGGTAGACAGGTAGAGTAGCAGAAGACTCATTATATACCAGATAGGGTGGTGATAAATGATTAAATAAACCATAGGACACAGAGCTATGGTACCACATCTGGTCAATATCTGGTGAATGCAACTCTAGCTCTACCAGGAAGCATTTCTGCTAAGCCAATTTCCATAACCACCTTCCAGAAAGTTTGATTGACCTAGCAGGAAAATAATATTTCTCTTCGCTAAAGAACGTCATGATTTAAGTCACTGGTTTGGGGAGACAATACCTTAATTAAAAGTGTCGGAGTTATTCGGATTCCAGTCTGCCATGCGACTCCAATGAAAGGAAGTGGAAAGGGCCCAGGAGGGTAATTTCTGCGGGACCAAAGCTGTTTCAGGAAATACAACATTACCCCAGCCAGGAACAGAGCAAACAACAATTGTCCAATTGTATCCATTTTTTTTAAAATTGTTTTTTGTATATTTCAAGCTGGCTAAGGTGGATCTGCTTTCTTCTGTAGATTTTGCCTTCCTGAGAGAGGACGCCTTTCTTTTTCAGCCTTTTATACTCTCCGGGTTAAAAATGTAAACAACACTTCTTATCACCTTATTCAATTAGAATAGGAATGCCTTCTCTCCAAACCTGTTGTAATAGAACGTGATCAACATAGTTAAGGCTAGGTTGCCCTTCATTTGCCTAATTGAAGGGAAGAGAATTCGGCATACCTATTACTATTGGAGGAGTGATATATGCCAAATGCTATGTTCACCCAGCCCAGAACAGCAGATGGACAACAATGGCAGCTCGGTGGCCAGTCCATCTCAGTTAAAGGCTGCTGTGTGAACAGTGGATTTGTGATCTGCAAGCATGGAAAAATCAGATGAGTGGGCACCTGTCAGCCCCGCTAGAGAGACCAGACCAGGAAATCAACTCCATAAGATGGTTAAAACTACTCTTATTGAGATTGGCTCTCATAACAGAAGTCTGATGGGGTTAGGGTTAACTCCTCCTCCTTCTTATAGTTCAGTGAATTCGGGACGCATCTGCCAGAGTCACTTCTGAATGTTATCTTGTTCTAGACTTAAAAAATGCTTTATCCCCTTTTGCCTAAGTAATGGTTCCTGCATGTCTCCATCAAGGTCATCTCCCTTACTCTCTACAATTCCTTACTCTCAACCACTCCAAACCATTTCCTATCACATCACATCCAAAATAGACACAAAACAGCTTCAGCATCATAAGTTCCCATGCCACAGGAAGCACATGATTATAAGACCAAAAGAAATAGGATTTGATTTAAAAGAAAATTAAATGTAAATGAAATACTGTTA